GGAATCGAACCCAAGTCCTCTAAGAGCAATCAGTACTCTTAACTGCTGAGCCATCTCCCCAGCCCCAGGACTTCCCAATATTGTATAATGCTAAAGGTTAAAGAAAAAGCAGATTATAAGTACTATCATGAATATAAAACATGTCATCATCTTGGAAACCAGTGTGGCTTCAAGTTCTTGAGTAGATGAGAATATTTTAAGAGAGTCCCTAATTTTGCCAGATACAGGATATCCAATATGTGTCAGGCTTTGTGCAAGGTGCTAGAGACCAAAACAGTGACTAAGACTGACAGTTCTGCTGTGCTGTAGGCTGAAATCCTGATCTGTTGAACTACAGTTTTCTAAATCACTTATCTGCTAAGATTTCTCAAGTTATATTTTCTAGTCTGATGATATACCTCACGTTTCTTTTTTGGGGAGGTAAAAAAATCAAATTGGAAAATCACCCGATTTCAATAGCAGTATATCTAGTCTGCATCTATAATTCACATGGCAAAGGTAGCCATGTACTCCTTGTGATTACTTAGCGGCTAGACAGGGATTTAACAGTTTAATTAGATTTCTTGTTTCTGAACTCAAGATACAAACCTCAGATGAATAATTTTCAAGGTATGAGACATGAAGTATAGAAGGCTGAGAGGATGGAAAACATTACTAGAACTGCTGAATTAATATTATTCTTGACAGAAATATTTTTGCAGTGTTTTTTTAAAATATTTTGTTTATTATTTTTATTTTATGTGTACAAGTATATTGCCTGTATATATGAGTGCACCTGTGTCATGCAATGCTGTGGAGGTCAGAAGAGGGCTTCAGATTCCCCTGAACCTGGAGTTAAGGATGGTTAGTAGCTGCTGTGTGGGTGCTGAGAATCAAACCTGGGTCCTCTGCAAGAGCAGTCAGTGCTCTTAACCGTTGAGCCATCTCTCCAGACCCTGCAGTGTTAGTTTTAATCAAAGTCATATGATCACCGAGAACAATTCTGTATATAATGTGATAGCTTGAACACCTCCATTTTGTGTAAGACTGCCATCTTGGGGAAACATCCCAGACCCTACCCTGGTCTGGGGTCAGCAGTTCCAGAAAAAGCTGACCCCAGAGGAACACACCCATATAATCCTGGGAGGCTCCAGTTGAGGCTTAACTGGCTTCTGTAACTGCTTACTTGTCTACCTATAGGAACAAACATGTGACTGCTTGTTTTTGAGTGAATTACTTGTTTCTGAGTAAATCTTGTACCAATAGGTCAGGATATGGATTTTACCTTTAAAAGCTTTACTTTCCTCTGAGCAAGTGCTGCATTCTCTAAATTGGTTCAAAGAATGCAGTTGCTGGTAAGCTAAATAAATTCGGCTAGTTTGAAATGTCTGGAGTCTGAGTGGTCCTTCCCAGGGGTCTTGGCACCATAAAAATAAAAAATTTAGATCTTAGCCGGGCATGGTGGCGCATGCCTTTAATCCCAGCACTTGGGAGGTAGAGGCAGGCGGATCTCTGTGAGTTCAAGGCCAGCCTGGTCTACATAGTGAGTTCCAGGACAGCTGGGGCTACAGGGAGACCCTGTCTCAAAAAGACCCAAGAAAAAAAAAATTTAGATTTTTCCCAAATGTGTTATTAAGAAACTTCATCTAAGAAATCTTTTGATAAAAAGTTTTAAAAGTATATTACTAACAACATAAGATATATTTATATACATTTTTAAAGACTTTATTTTTATTTTTTGTGTGGTTTGATTGCAGCATGTACATATATGCCCCACACGTACATGTAGTGCCGGAAAAGGCTAGAGGAGGGTGTAAAATATGCTAGAATTGGAATTAGGGAAGGCTGTTAGCTAACATGTAGGTAGTGGTAACCAAACATAGGTCCCCTGCAAGGGCTGTCAGTGCTCTTAATCCTGAGGTATCTTACTTAAATACCTTTATATACTATCACATTGCTTTTATTAACTCATTTAATCCTCACAGCAATTTTCATTTTACATATGGAAACAGAAGTTTTAAATTCAGGGAGTTTGGCTCTAAACAATTTTTTGTCTTTTCCCTCATTGGTATTGGGCTCAAACCCAGAGTAAGCTAAACATGGGCTCTGTCATTGAGCTATATACTTCCAGTCCTGGATTTAGACGTTGAATCATAAGCTATGCAATAACTAAATAAGGAAGAAAAGCTAGTACTTTAGAAAATATTTATAGTGCTTTCACATTTTTATGTCAAATGTGTTAACATTAATCTTTCAGAATTATGTAATACCTTATAGTAACAATGCACTTAAGATAGCCCATTCAAATAGATAACAATAGATTGAAATTCAAATGGACCAATTAGAACTTGTATATCTTTTTCTATGTCAAACTTAGGAGACTTCCTAACCTGCTGCATAGCTGTTTCCTCGAAATTGAAATGTTTCATCCTAGAGGGAGGATAGATGCTAATAATGTTATAGTAGCAAGAAAGGCCACTTTAATAGAATAAAATCTATGAACCAGATGAAGACTCAACGTTCTAGTTGAGCCAGGTCAATCACCAGCTCAGGGGACCACCCCTAGGAAGGAGAGTTCACCTTAAGTCATGCTAAAGAGATAGGTGGAATACCTAGTGTACCTGAGATGGTGTCTTAGTTTGTTCTTCATTGCTATGACAAAACACTCTGACCACTACCAACTTGGGGAAGAAAGGCTTTATTTATCTTACATCTCCTGGGTCACAGTTCATCAGGGAGCCCAAGGTAGGAACTCAGGGCAGGAACCTGGAAGCAGGAGCTAGAGCACAGGCCATGAAGGAACGCTGCTTACTGGCTTGCTCCTCTGGCCCGCCTGCTTTCTGCTTTTTTATACAACACAGGCTCACTGCCTAGGGTTGGCACCACCCACAGTGGGCTGGGCCCTCCCACATCACTCATCAAGAAGATGCCCCTCAGACATGGCCACAGTCCAGTTCAATAGAGGAAATTCCCCAACTGAGGCTCCCTCAACCCAGGTGTGACACTAAAGCTATCCAGCACAGATAGTGAACTTCATCTACCTGGAATTGCTGCTCCTAACACAGTGATAACAGAGGCATAGACATGTTACTTTCTAAGTCTGCCTACTTTCCTGAAGAATTCAGAGCCTCTCCTTTTCCTCTTTCCATCTCTTTTTTTAAGCATGCTTTCCCTAACACTCTGGGCTTCCCTGACATTTTAGAGTTTGTTTTACTCTTTCTCTAAAACTCACCTCCCTGCCTTGTGGCTGCTAGCCCACTAAGTGTCTGACCACTGTGCCTGCTTAAAACAGCATGATATTCTTTCCTTCTCTTTGCCATTCTCCTCTCCACACAACTGCTGAAATTTATACCTCGCTTGTCCTGAAACTTTTTCTTTTAAATTTGAATAAAATTGTCCTTAAGCTTCTGTTTGAACCTATTCTTAAATTCTTTTATTAATGGGACTAAGATCCCTAAGGGGGCACTCCAATTTCCCTTGTACCATTAAGACTCAGGAAGCTTAGCCGGCTCAAAATACTAAAGAAACTTACAAAGTTCAGAAAGCTTAGAAAGTTCTAAGACTCATAAGCCCTCTTTGAGGTTATACTCAGGTGCTAAGGAGAAGAGACTCTTCAATGGAGCTGTCTATAAACTGGACAGGAAGCTCCAAGGGAGCAGCTTTTGTGAGGAGGATGTGAGCTTTTTTGAGCAGGATGGGGTAGGCTTTTTGGTGATGTATGTGTGAGTCACCAATGCTCTGTAAATAAATAACCCCAATAAACTCAACTGGCTCATTAAGGTGAATGGGAAGACTGGCTTCTGTGTTCTGTTGGTGTGTTATAAGGAATGAATCTGTTCACAATTCCCAGAAAAAGGTCATACAACACATGTCAAACAGAATCCATTAGGTTCAAATATACAGTAGTGCATTGAGGTCTAAGGGACACAAACAACAAAATGCCAAATGGAGGGAGATGAGGGTTAGAGCTAATATTACCAATTACCTACTGCACTGCAGGTAAATACCTGATATTCCCACTAATTAAGTACTCTTAAATATGAAGAAACATTGAGTCTATTATGAAATTAGTCAAAAATCATATGGCTTCAAAAATGGAGAATCCAGACTGCTCTGGCCCCATGCTTCCTTTCACTACTAAGTGTTGCTTAATAGCAGAACATGATTTTTAAAAAGACATTTTACAATTCATAGCAAGATCAACATAAACCAATGTATAACATGGTTGTTCCAAAAGCTAATATATATTCCTAGGCTGCATTAATATAATTGTACTGTTGAAATTATGTTTGGTATTAGACCTGCCATATCTATAAAAGTAGCAAATGTAGATATTTAAGCTTAAAGGAAAGTTTAGAGTGAATATGATAATAACTATTTTCAAGTAATTAATGAGCTATGAGGGAGACTAGTAGGCATTAGATTTTGGCTCAAATGAAAGAACTTTATAGTGAAAATGTCAAAACTAGAATTGGCCACTTATGATATATTCAATTAGACTTTAAGTAACCAAATGTAATTTTGCAGGGGGATTCAGAAACAAGGTAACAATGAGCCAAGTGATCTGATTCTCTGCCCCTATTCAAAGTATGTCAAAGTAGAGCAGTTTGTTTCTTACATTTAACAGTGAACATTCCATTTAAGATTTTTTTTGTTGTTCAGGGCAAGGAGAAATTCTGTTGTGGGGGAAAAAGCCCCCCCAAAACCACAAGGTTAGATATATCAAAAGATTTCTTTCAATTCAAAATTTCATCCTGTTTAAAAAATTTTAAAATATTTATTTGTTTACTGTGTGTGTATGTGTGTATGTGCATTGTAACAATAATATGGAGGTCAGAGAATGACCTACATGAGTCAGTTCTTTCTTTCTACCATGTGGGTCATGTAGCTTGGTGGCAAGCACCTTACCTTAAGCTTAGCCCCAAATCAGGCCCCAAATTCCATATTCCTAAATTCTTTTAAAGTTAAGAACACAAAATCACATCTTGACTTGTGAAGAAACGAAGGTAAGTCAATCATACCATTTTTTTCTGCAAAGGCAACTGCATCTTCTTTTGTACTGAAGGTTAGAACCATGTTGGACAGGGGGTCAGCCCTATAAGAAAGAATGCCCAAGTTTTAATATTAAGCTTTAGCTGCAAGGCAATATTTTAAATAAAATGTTTGGAAAATAAGACAGTTGTCCTACATTCAAATAAGTAAACTATGATGGAATATTTTATTTGTAATAATGTTTAAAAACAATAAATATTTTTGTTCTAAATCTGGAAGATTTTTCTAATATGTATTATTCAACAATAAAAACTAACTGTAAAAACATTTGGGTATTCTTTACTGAAGTTATTAAACTATATTAAAAAGGAGAAAAGAATTCAAGTTTTGAATTTAAAAACCCAAGAAGATTCCCCACCTGACCTTAGAAATTATGTCAAGAAGATGACGAGTACAATTGCAGTACAGATGCCACCAGCTTATAATAGTTGGGCTTCAGATTTTTCAATGTGAAGCAATACATGTTTAAAAGAAAATGTTTTTCTTTAAAAAAAAAAAAGTTATAGCTGGGCGTGGTGGCATATGCCTTTAATCCCAGCACTTGGGAGGCAGATCTCTGTGAGTTCAAGGCCAGCCTGGTCTATCTAGTGAGTTCAGGTCAGATGGGGCTACAGGTGGACCCTACCTCAAAAAAAGGCAAAAAAAAAAAAAAAAATGTTAGAGTGCGTGCGTGAGTGCTCATGCCACAGTATGCATGTGAGGGTCATAGAACAATTGGAAGGAGGTAGTTTTTACCCTCTTGAGCCATCTTATTGAAATAAAAAATGTTTTCAAATTTCAAATTAAAAAAAATTTGATTTATTATTTTTATTTTATGTGTATGAGTGCATTGCCTACATGTATGTGAGTGCACTCGTGTCGTGCAATGCCATGGAGGTCAGAAGAGGGCTTCAGCTTTCCCTGGAACTGGAGTTAAGAATGGTTTGTATCTGCCATGTGGGTGCTGGGAATCGAAACTGGGTCCTCTGCAAGAGCAGTCAGTGCTCTTAACTGCTGAGCCATCTCTCCAGACCCTCAAATTTCAAAGTTTAATCTTTCTCAGGATAGCACTATGTGCTCTAACACTTTCTTATAATGTTGAACAACAGCAATGAACTGCTGCTCCCAGTCAGCTATACTGGATCACACTGTTAAACAACCGATACTGAGAGTGTACAGTGTTGCTAAGCTATGACATTCAACAGGTTAGCTGTAGGAAACATATTTCCAACTTATGATATTTTTAACTTATACTTGGTTTGCTGGGACATTAATGTTATGTAGTTATGCAGTGTTTATATTATGAATATTCAGAAAAACAGCACCAACACCTATTCTCAACAAACCTTCAGTTATTAACAATGTTCTTTCAGGGTATAGATCTACTTTTAAAAAGTTCTAAGACTTGATATCCAATTGAGTTCTTCAATTTAGGGCGACAGTGTTTGACTTTTAAGTCTATACAGATTATTTATAATACCACACAAGTTTCAGAAATGTTACTGTTATTTTTATGTTTATAAAAAAGTATACTATTTGCTATAAATGTTTAATGCAAATTTCTCAGTTTAATGTAACATTCTGTGGAAATTTATCCAGAAATATGGAGTAGGGGATTGGGGATATAGCTTGGTAGATACAGTCCTTGCCTGGTATACAGGAAGCCCTAGGTTCAATCTTCAGCAGTGTGTGTGTGTGTGTGTGTGTGTGTGTGTGTGTGTGTATGCACATGCATGCACAAACATCAAACAGAGGACACTGAGAATAACTTGGATATTGAAAAGATATGAGATATAAATTAAACATTGGAATTAGCTCTCACTGATATGAAGACTCACAAACTGCTGGGACACTATGGCTCCTTTTCTGGGATTCCTTTAAAATCCCTATAATCACATACATTCCTAGCATAAATTCCCCTTGTAAGAAAAAGAACTGCTATTGGCTGGCTATATTAGTATCAAAAACAATGATAATTTTATATTGATGCTCCTATTCAAAACACATATAATTTCTCAGTTGACAGTTAAAATACACTAGGTATATTCAGAAGTGCCAATATAATTATGACCCAGTAATTTGATGACTTTTGACACATCACATTGGCACACTGGCTTAGTTAAGAATAAGAAATAATAGTGAAAACAAATGTAGAAAAAACTCAGAAGCCAGGAGAAACAGCTTTAATTCTCATAAAGATACAGCTTTATTATTTTTGCTTTATAAAGAAATATATTATGTATACACATATAAGTTAAGTAGTAAAAAGTGTAGCAATCAGCTACAATTCTTCCAGTTACTTGGTCTGTCACTGCCCTTCTCCTTTGTCTCCTACATTTTATAATTCCTTCTAGATATGATGCTACCAAGATCTTCTAATCAAATTTTCTACCTCCTTTTTTGACTCCAAACCACCCTTTTACATATTACTAGATTAATCTTCCTAGTATTTAACTACCAACCTTAGTGCCAGTTCAAAAACTTCAAATAGTTTCCACTGTCTACCACAGTGGCTTTCATCTCTTATCCTATTTGAGCATTTGTGTAATATGGTCAGAATCTGCTTTCCAGACGTCCTTTCAACTATTTCCTTGTAAGTAACGAACTAGTCAAATCAAACATCTGCTCTATAAACACAGCCTATAGTTTATCAGGTTAATTTGTTCCTTCCATTGAGAATACTCTTACCATCTCTATGTATGGAAGTCCACCCCAACTACTGACCCCCCATGACTCACCTTGAATATCAACCTTTTCCATGAAATCTTTCATACTACACTTTCCTCTAGGTATATATGTCTTTCAATATTTTTATAAAAAATATTTTGTGTATGTGTGTATCGCCTGCATATATGTAAGTACACCCACATTGTGCAATGCCCGCAGAGAACAGAAAAGGCCATTGGATATCCTGGAACCGGAGTTATGGGCAGTTGTGGGTGCTGGGAAATGAACGCGGGTCTTCAACAAGAACAGCCAGTGTTCTTAACAGCTGAGCCATCTCTCCAGCCCACGTCTTTCAGTCTTTATAAATATATTTCTGCTTTTATTTTCATACTCTATGTGCTCAATTCTCAACTACTTAGGTCCCAAGTTAGGT